TATGGTTCGAGAGATGGCCAATCTTCTTCTTCAACAACGTGGAACCACCCCGGTTACTTCGGTCGGCGAAAATTGGGTTACGAATTTTGTTAAAAGGCACCCTCTTCTCTCCTCCCGATTCTCGAAACGGTATAACTACGAGCGCGCGAAATGTGAAGACCCGAAAATCATTAGGGAGTGGTTTGATTTGGTTCAAAAAACGATCCTTCAATTTGGAATCGACCCCGATGACGTTTATAACTTTGACGAGACTGGTTTTGCTTTGGGATTAACGACACCTACGAGGGTTATTACGAGGAGTGAATACTCCGGGCGGAGAGCACTTAAACAACCTAGAAATCGAGAGTGGGTGACGGTGATTGAATGTACGAATGCTTCTGGCTGGGTGCTTCCTCCGTGTGTGATTTTTAAAGGAAAGGTCTTCCTTAAATCCTAGTTTACCGGCCTTCCTAACGATTGGCGTTTTAAAGTGAGTCCTAATGGTTGGACTTCGGATGAAATTGGACTTCGCTAGCTTAAAAGCTCTTTATTCCTACTACTTCTTCACGTACGAAGGGGGGTATCGGCTTTTGATACTTGACGGATATAGAAGTCATTTAACGCCGAAATTTGATAAAATTTGCGAGCAAAATAAGGTGATACCAATTTGTATGCCTGCTCATTTATCCCATCTTTTACAACCTCTCGATATCGGCTGTTTTGCGGTCTTAAAACAGTCTTATAGTCGGGCGGTTGAAACGAAGATGCGGAACGGGATCAACCATATTGAGAAACTTGACTTTCTTGAAGCATACCTAAAGGCACGAATTGAAGCTTTTAAAGCAAAGACAGTTAAAAGCAGCTTCCGAGCTACCGGTTTAGTGCCATTTGCACCAGATCAAGTGATTTCAAGGCTCAATATCCGGCTTCGAACGCCTACCCCCCCCTCCCAGCCGGGGTAGTGAATCAAGTCGAAATTTTACACCAAAAACGCCAGCTACAGAGAAAGAACTACGTCGGCAGGCTTCATCAATCAAAGCTTTACTTCGTACAAGATCTCGAAGCCCACCTAGCCCCGTCAGATCGTGCATTAAACCAGCTTGTAAAAGGCTTCCGTCTTACAATGCAAGGTGCTATCTTACTCGCGAAAGAAAACAAGGAATTACGCGCCGCCAACGAGAAGCAGAAGCAAAAGCGTACTCGATCCCGACAGCAGATACCAGCTGAAGCAGGGCTCACAGTTCAAGAAGCTTCTCAATTGATTACTGAGCCGGTGGAAGCAGATAAAGCACCTCCCTCCCCTCCACGAAGAAGCCCTTCGCCGGCTTTACAACCACGTACACGGGCGCCACCAAAGTGCAGTGGTTGTGGAGAAATAGGGCATAAGATCAATAGATGCCCAGCTAGATAGATGAATTTAGTGTATTTAATTTAATGGAGTTTTGGTTGAGGTATATGCATTTGAAATTAATATATTTGGTTGGGGTGGCCACTCGCTTGTAGTGGCCACTCGCTTGTGAAATACGTTATATATCAATCTGAAAGGCAGTAGGAGGCTATAATATCATCATTTCAAAAATTACTGAAATTTACGTTGCTAAAAACTAACAATATATATATCGCAATCATAGAGTCATAAACTTTCTTTAAACTCCATTAAGAGGCTATGTATCGCCTAGAAAGCAGGAAGCTATAAGGAGAAGTCCCTATAGACCAATGTTGTTGAGATATCATGTTGTAATCTATCGCATTTACTATGGTGTTTTGGGGTGGGCGGCTCGCTTGTGAAATACGTTAATTAGTGAATCACACAAGCGAGTGGATCACCCCCAAAACACAGAGTAAATGCGATAAATTCTAGATTTATATCTCAACAACCATGTTTTTACTTAATCTCCTTATTTGTCGATAGTTATTGATAAGACTCATTGGCACCATTTATCAATTTCAAAGAAAGTAGAAGGCTATAATATCATCATTTCCAAGAATACCGAAAATTACGTTGCTAAAAACTAGAAATATATATATCACAATCATGAAGTCACAAACTTTCCCCAAACTCCCTAAAGACGCTAGATATCACCTAAAAAGCATTAAGCTATAAGGAAATCTCCATATAGACTATCGTTGTTGAGATATCAAGTTGTAATTTATCGCATTTACTACGTGTTTTGGGATGATCCACTCGCTTGTGTGATCCACTAATTAACGTATTTCACAAGCCAGTGGGCCACGTCAAAACACCATAGCAAATGCGATATTTTACAACCTTATATCTCAGCAACCACGTTGTTATCTGATTTCATCGTCATTTGATAGCCATCGATAAGACTTTTGAACACTATGTATCGGTTTCAAGAAATCGGAAAGCTGCATTATCACGGTAATCGGGTCGTCGAACCCAGCCACCTGGCGGTGTCAGGGTTCCCGGGCCTAATTACAACCCGGGCCTAATTACAACCCGGGCCTAATTACAAATTCTTCAATTCCAACCATGAATTCATTGAATTTAAATAGCTTCGCCTTCTAAATCAATGTAATAAAGGTCATCTATCCATTCCCGGGCCATTTCTGCACCTGCTTCGACCTGAATTTCTCCTGAATTTTCAATGTCGCCGTCCTCAATTGCTTTCAAAATAGCTGCTTCCCGCCATGCTTTTTTGGACCGGTTGAACATTTGCAGCCTTTCTCGGTCGGCGCGGTCGGATATATGCTTTTTACAGTCCTTTACTAAACGAGGGCCTAGTTCAGGAAGCCTACGCTTTGTTTTAGCAGAATTGGCCTGCTTCTTCCGCCGGAGAATACGCACATTGTCCTCCGCGAATTGAGCACCGACCTCGGCAAGAGCGAGTCCACCTGCTAGAATCCGAGTAAGGCTATCCCGCACCTTCGGAGATATTGTAGCATCGTTTTGTATATGCTTCACGACCTTAGTGCTCGCTTTTCGGAGTTTTTGAACGGTCGTAGGTGGTGAATTTGGTAGTGAACTTGATAGTGGGGGTGGTGTAGTTCCAGACATAATATCATGAACTATAAACCCTGGTATGTCGGGGAGATCGTTGTCCACTAAGTTTAATTTTACAAGGCCTTTGTTTGAATCAACTGGCCAAATCCCAGTTTCTCGAAACCCGTGTCGAATTGTCCGCTCAGTTAATGATCGTGTGCGCACATCATGAATACCCGCGAAGAAATTGGCTTTATGTTTCGTATCACCACCCCAAAAAGTAGTCTCGTTGTTATATTGTTTATAGTAATGCTTTAAGACCGAGAACGGTGTATCATCGAGAGGTTGGCAACCATGTGTTATATGTGGAATAAAGCAGTAAGGAATAATGCGTTTTGTCCAACAAAATTCAATGAAATCATAGGTCAAATGTGAACCATGATTATCCATTAAAAGAAGACGATATTCCCCCTTTTTAATACGCAATGATGTAAATTCATCGAACACCTGGAGCTATGCAAAACTAATGATTTCATCAGTCCAGCCATTTGGGGTTGGACAAATCGTGTAGTTGTCTGGTAAATTGGTGTCGATAAACCAACTTTCCATATGGAATTGTCCCTTCACCAAAAACCATGGCGGCATAACCCAACCCGTAGCTGAGACACATTCAATACCGGTAAGCGATTCGGCTTGACCACCGGTACTATTATATGAATTGCCCCGGGCTGAAACAACCTTTTGAGCCTTCCCTTCGCCAATTCGAAACCCGGTTTCGTCGAAATTATATAGATTTCTCGGGCTAATGTTGTAGTTTTTGAGCGTAATTTGTAGACGATCGTACCAAGTGACAACATAACCAGGATCTGCGGCCTGAAACCGTTCTTTCTCCATTGGTTTTTGATTAAGATGTTCAAAGCGTGGTGGTAGACGAGCGATAAAATCGTAGGCCCAATTCTTTCCGAGTGTCCGCGCGGGGTCATGACGTCGGATAATTTGCAATGCAGCATGCTGAATTTGTGCCGCTGACGGCGGAGAATAGGCCTGGTCTAAGGTATCGATCCATAGAACTAAGGCCTTCTCTTGCTCTGTGTGTAGTGCTTTATTGGCCGCGGTGCGCTTGTTTCGAGGCTGGCGACCGTTGATGCGGCCTCTCAAGACGCCGTGCGAAATGTTGAATTGCTTAGCGGTGGCTGGGTTCGACGACCCGATTATTGAAAATTACGTTGCTCAAAGCCAAAAATATATATATCTCAATCATGAAGTGGTAAAAATTTTCAAAGTCCTTAGAGAGGCCAGATATCACCTAAAAAGCAGTAAGCTATAGGGAAAATTCCACATAGACTACCGTTGTTGATATATGAGGTTGTAAAATATCGCATTTACTATGGTGTTTTGACGTGGCCCACTCGCTTGTGTGGCCCACTGGCATGTGAAATACGCTAGTTAGTCATTATTGTTTAATAAGCAGATTACGACAATCCACATGTGGCATAACACCCTGTGTTTCAGGCTGCAACTCCCCGCCCTTTCCAGAGGTCGCAATTGGCTGCAGTCACGTCGCGTCACGCTTGTTTGGAGATCCTCAAGATAGCTTGCAACCCACGCATGCAAGGCTTGTTCTTGAATTGCAGCTAGTGGCCTGGCCCTTTCTTCCTTCGTCCCTCTTCAGTTTCTCCTAAAGTAGCGGTCTATCATTTCCTTTCTTTGGGCTTCTGTCCTCCGCAATGCCTCACCGGCAACGTTCCGGTCCTGCAGAAAATGGCTGCTCCACTACTTCCCTCTGCATAACCTTACCATTCCCACGGCCGATCAGATTCCTGGATATGCGTGGCTGATCAGCCGGCTCGCTAATACCTCCTTTCGGTTTATTCCCAATCCAAGGTGAAGTGGCTTGAATCGACAATTTGAGCTCGCGTCCTCGATATCCACTTTCTCCTCTTTTTACCCTTCGACCTTTGGAATTTCGAAACCCCATACCTGCTCAATATCACTTTCTCCTTTCTCCTTTCCTCTTTGTTTCAATACTGGTCTTCCACCTACTACCGTGTGTGGTGGACAAGCGAAATCTAGTGAGATGGAATCTCAGGACGGCACCGACACCCGCCCTATGAGGCGTACGTTCCCCAATGCTGTTCGAATGGGACCAGTTGGCCGGAGCTAAGCATAATCATCTTACAGTAAAGGTTCTTTATACATTCGACTATGAAAACAAGACCAATTGCCTCGCCCGGTGGCCCTATGTGCTTGACATCCAGACTGTCTCTCTGGATGAGAATACTGCGGTTGGAGTGATCGAGCTGGAAACATGTGTTCAAGCAATTGTCTCTGCTAGGTTAGACTTCCTTCCCCTGTGGTGGAACCAATAATGGAATATTCATGCAGTTGTTCTTCGTATAGCCCCGAGCTGGTGGCTCAGCCAGGAAAAGACTATACCGTGTACGTCTACGACTACTCCGAATATGAAACCCCCCTCGTTGGACAAGGCATGCTATCATGGGTATTGGCATCTTCATCGCCGATACCCGAGGCATCCGCCCACCAGTCCAAGACATTGGTTATTGGTCGAGTTTGCAAAAACGCTCTTGGTCTCTTCTCAAAGGAGGCCCAGGAGACGCTGGAGGTCAAATTGCGACTGGTTCCTATTCCAACTGTCATGCATAGCGGATGCCTTGACAACATGCACAATTATCGGAGATTGAGCAATCCCATCCCGGGCGACGTAGATGCACAGTCGCGGACAAACTTTGTCCGTCAAAACTCCGTCTTGCTGGAATTCCGAACTAGTTCTCTGGTGAACCAACCTAGGACTGAGAGATCCCACCGACACTTGAGCGAAGACTTAACGCCACGGGAGTTCCCTATCTTCCCGCCGAATAAGTCGGTCCACTCAATATCACCTTCACAATTATATGTTGCTCCTAGTAGAGTGTCAAAACCAGGTGGCTCTCGAATGCCGGTCCAGCACCTACCCCAGTCGAAGCAACGCATTCCGCACCGTGATATGATTCGTCCATCCGCGAGTGCTTCTATGCCAGACTGCGCTCTCCAGACTCAAGTATCATACAACCCTCGAACAGGGTCGATTCATTCTGGGTATGACAGTGATGGAGAGAAATCGGTCGAGCACCAGCCATGGAAGAGGGTCAAAGTGTACCAAAAAGATTGGCCCGGAAGATCAGATATGAACGTCGAAAGGCAACCAAGTTCGTTACGAGTATCGGCCAACGCAGCGGCCTATGTTAGGATCCACCGTCCAACCCCCATAAACCATGCCATTGCGGCCGACCAATCAAGTGAAAAGTCTGTCCGTCCGCCTACCCCGATGTCTCGACCTTCAACAAGCTTGCTGCGGGAGTCGTCCACTAGCATTGCTTCATGTACTACTTCATATACTTCCCCGTATTGTATCAGTGACGACATCCCATTCACAACCCTTACGGGTCAATCACCAGAGTATTCCTGTTATCAAGGCCTCTTTGATCATCCCTTCACCATGCCATCACTACCTCCTATCGTCGACAGCCCCTTTCCGAATAGATCAACTCCTGTCTCGCCTCCCATTTCCTTGGACACTGACTCTGGCTTTGTGAGTGGAGAGTCAGAAGAACTCTTAAACAAGTGGACCGCCACCCCCCTGGGTGGCTGCAGAAGGGCCGAGTCTCGGAATATCACCCAAGACAAACGCTCTACTTGGACTGCAGTGCTGGCGAGTTCCCCAGCTAGTGCGATTAGTGCGGCCCAAGGAACCTCCAATGATCCGCTTCCAGCCAGTAACACTCCAAATGAGCAGACTTCAAAGGGGGCGCAAACACCGCTGCCTCGTCCTGCCACATCGGCAGGGTCAAGACCTTCTTCAAGCGCCGGTGCATGCTTGGCGCCAAAACCTCCGGGGCCAGCTATTTCGCAAAGCGATGTCCCAAAATTGATGACCGCAAACCCTGCCAGTGACCCAACCGTGCCTTACCATCCCGTGATTGTCAACTTTTTGCCGTGTACAACTGGTATTACCAAACGGCCAAAGCAGGTGCAGACGAGCTTGGACCAAGCCATTCGAGAAGGGCAAGTCCCGCCGTATTGCGAAAATTGTGGTTCAATCGAAACACCCACCTGGCGCCGAGCGTCGTCGAAAACGATTGAGGGCAGCGAGAAGATTGCAGAAGAGATGATGCGGAATACCAGCATGCTTTTCTGGTTGGCTTTGGAACGCAACACAGAAGGTGAAGTGCGAAAATTCATTATATATAAGAAGGGTCTTGGGGAGACCGTTAATGGGTGGATCCAAATGCTTTTCTGCAATCCTTGTGGTCTGTGGCTCTATAAGGCCAAGAGCATGCGCCCAGTAAATAGATGGAACAAGCCAGTATTAGAGGAAAAGAGAATACGCCCCTTGAGGAACCGCAAGAATGGCCCGCTCAATCCCTGCCCTGCTACCTGAACTCGGCGCAAGGCTGCGTCAAACAAGCCTTTGGCATCAGCCAAGGCTTGGTCACTGGACGGGCAAGGACTTCCTGGGCCATGTAACTGGCTTAAGGTCAGCTTGCTGAACTTGATGTCACCGCTGCTGCAGGTCAGGCCACCGAGCGCGAGCAATTACTTAACAACCAGGGCATTTTGCCGCATGATAATCAATGAATACAATGCAAGCTGTAACGATTCACCAAGGCGAAAATTCGCCAGCTTTCCCAGAGCAGCACCGCTTCTGTTGGGGGAAGCTGAGCGAGACATTCCCCACCCAAGCAACGTGAATTATGTCTAGAACGGACACGCCCATTCAAGTCGCAAGTCCGCGGTGAGGCAGAGACAACGCATCATTCACGCGATCCTCCAGGCGGCCGCAAAGGTCCAAGCAAAGGGAGTCGCGCTTCGTCTCCAATGGATACCTGGACACTGCAACAACCCAGGAAACGACAAAGCAGATCGACTGGCGAAGGACGCGGCAAGCCCGGGCAAAACACACCCCTTCCGCCCTTTACTGACAAAGAATAGGGCGCTTTCCCAAAGACACCATCCGCGCTCAGTGGGAGCGGGAATGGAAAGCATCTACCAAAGGCGGTCACCTGCGGAAAATTGACAGCATTCTGCGGACGGCCTACACCAGGAAGCTGTATGGGAACTTGCCCAGAGGCCGGGCGTACCTGCTGATACAGCTACGCACAGGCCATAATTGGTTATCCACCTATGCCAAGACCTTCGGGTTCCGCGACGATGATCGGTGCGTGTGCGGCGCGCAAGAAACAGTCACCCATATGCTGGTGGACTGCCCAAATCTGTGGGACATTCGATGGGAGTTAAGAAGTGAAGCTGGGGACGCGTTTAACAGTATGTCGAGCCTGCTGGGGGGCTCAACTGAAGGTAAGTGAGGTAAACCAGACACCGTCTCGCGGGCTAGGGCGGTCAAGGCCGTGCTAGACTTCACTAAGGCGTCACAACGGTTCCAAAGTCGCGCGCCATAAGGGCAGCCTAACAACGTGAGCGGCAACTAGGCCACGATAGGCCTTGACGAGGCTCTAAGTTCGTTTTCAGGAAGTGGATCACTCTACATGTACGTACACGGATATATATAGTTGTTGTAGCCTGCATATCGCTTTGCGAGTTGATTTCCCAACTAGACTAAAATACGAATCCGTACTCGGCCTAGTGGTTTATGGTTTAGAAACCAACTTTGCGAGGGGTCGGGGTAAATGAAATCATCCATCCATCCATACTGTAAAGCATAAGCCCTAAACTGATTGAGGCTCGGCTTCCCAGCCCCACCGCGATCGGACAATTTAAGCGGGCTTGTCGACCACATATTCACTCTGCAGCTCCTTTGTTAGTTTCGTTTCGCGAGCTCTGAGACTGGGCTTTTTGTTCAGTGCTCATTTCCCAAGAGCCCAGTACAGGAGCAGAGAAAATGAAAGAAACGGGGTGGTATCATAAGCGCCGCTCTAGCGTCGCGCGAGTCGCGACCGACACACCCCCTCTCAGGGCTCGCATGCTGATTGGGCCATCAATTCGTACGGAATAGCAGACATACATGGGCGTAAGTAGCTTTGCACAACTGCTTACGGAGTAGAAAGATGCACAATCGTGACTCATATGCGGTTGCAGCCCCGGCCCCCGGGGTTTACATCGTCTTGGCCAGAACACGTGTCGTTCCCCTAGGTCCAGTTTGTCGCGATGGTCATCAGGCTCAGTTAGATGCTGAGTTAGTGATCTGTCTCGATAGCGACCAACCGTAATAATCATCATCGCTGCTCTTCTTCCCAGAGGACTAGTCACAATGTCGAGCGTCAAGGATTCCCATTCCCAAAGCTACCCTGATGCCGAAGGTTATTTCGGCCAGTTTGGTGGCAATCACTATCCACCTGGGGTTCGGCCAGCCCTAGAAGAATTGGCCACCACTTACCAGGAACTGTGTCAATCCCCAGAATTCCAGCGCGATCTCAAGAAGGTGCGCACCGGGCTTCAAGGGCGGCCAACACCGATCCATTATCTCGAAAATCTCTCGAAGGAGGTCGGAGGCGCTCAGATCTTCATCAAACGAGAAGACCTAAATCACACAGGTGCGCACAAAATCAACCATTGTGTTGGCTTCGCACTTCTCGCCAAGAAATTGGGCAAGACGAAGCTGATTGCCGAGACCGGCGCTGGCCAACATGGCGTCGCACTCGCAACTACAGCTGCTTATTTTGGTCTTGAATGCGAGATCCACATGGGCGAGATCGATATCAGTAAACAGAGATCGAACGTTGGGCGCATGCAGTTGCTCGGCGCACGCGTAGTGCCAGCGACCACTGGCCAGTCTGCCCTGAAGGAGGCTAGCGACTCGGCTTTCAACGCGTACGTAGAGCAGCATGCGTATGCTCTCTATGCTATCGGATCTGCTATTGGCCCACACCCCTTCCCCCTGATTGTTCGGGACTTCCAGAGTGTCATTGGCCAAGAGGCCCGCGAACAATTTCTTTCCATCACGAATGGTAGCTTGCCCGAGCATGTTGTTGCCTGCGTTGCTGGTGGCTCCAATGCAATGGGTATGTATTCAGGCTTTCTTGACGACCCAGATGTTATTTTGCACGCAGTAGAGCCGCTGGGCAAATCCGATGAACTGGGCCAACACGCGGCGACGTTGTCCTACGGCAGACCGGGGACGTTGCATGGTGCTCGATCGATTGTGCTGCAGCAAGCTGACGGTACGACTACAAACGTCTCGTCCGTGGCATCGGGGCTCGTCTACCCGGGCATCGGGCCGGAGATTGCGATGCTTCATGAAACTGGTCAGCTTTCCGTCGCAGCGATTTCTGATGAGGAGGTAATCGGTGCCTTTTTCCGAATGGCAAAAGTCGAGGGAATAATCCCGGCTTTGGAAAGCGCGCATGCGGTGGCGTTCGCGATCCGATTGGCATCGCAGCGCCCTTCATCAGAACGGATACTAGTCAATCTTTCGGGGCGTGGTGACAAAGATGTTGACTTTGTGCTTGAGAACTATGGTACGGGTCAATAGCAGGCTGCAACCCTTACTACTCGTCTGGTAGTTGTTATTGGCCATAGATTAGGATTCAGATACCGTCACTACCCTCAAGTAGTTTAGGGAACACCAAAGCCAGGCTCCCGGAATCAGCTTTGTTCCTGCTAGTCCGCATGAAAGACCTTGAATTTACTATTGGATATTCTATGAAACCGCATCAATGAAATTGTATTTACGTCAGGTTTTCTTTCTGTTTCGTGGCCAAGGTTCATTACAGATAAAATGCAACGATGCGGATAAGCCTGCGCAGGCTTGAACAATTGTTTTTAGAAAAGGGTCATTTAGCATATAAATATCTGAGTAATTAATATTAAATAAGACAGGGGACTAGGCAAAGATACTGCTGTATGATGCAGGTATGTTACGGAACTGACATCGTTTCATGTATGAAAAAACCAAAGTTCACTGTGGCTTGCATGTATTAAAACGGTGGCTGTGCTGGGTGGTTTCAGGCTCGTAATCAGCTTACAAATTGAGATACCGACGCGGTGTATCCATTACGATCGAAAACAGCCATGACGAAGCGCGACAAGGATATCGAACTACAGTGGTGAAGTTCTTGAGGCGATTGTATATTTCAATTATCAATGTGTTACCCCATTTCACACTTAGTACCGGCGTTTATTGCTCAATCAAACACGTCTCGGTCTTTATGGAAAACCTCATTGGGATGGCATGGTCATTTCGGTCGGCGGTAAGCTCCCGAGATCGAGAGTTGCCAAAGCCTGACGACATAGACTGGGGATTCGCGGCCATTCTCTGGCCAAATTAGTGTAATGTCCAGGCGCTTCAATAAGTATGCGGCTTCTTTTGGTCTTGAAACTCATAGTACATAAATGCCTTGCATTTAGGTTTCTTCCACCTAAGCCAACTGTGTGACAATATCATGCAGGTTTCTCTTGTTCGGCTTTGGTTGAGTAGACTACTCCTGAAATTACTTGAAGAAGACATGACGGTCGAATTGTTGTGAAAGGCGGTCTTTATATTCTGGTGAGAACTTGCTTTTCTTGCTGCATTGTTGTCGTAGACTGTAATCCGAAGAGAGATGACATTGGCATCAGAGAGGCTCGTTTGACTGGGGAGAGAAGTTGACAACATCTTCACACCGCAACTATGTTAAGAAATTCAAATCTACAGGGGACATACACGTCCGAATTTGGCGGCAGAGATCTGCAGGTGCGGTGGCTTGCAATACAAGATAGACTTGAGCCAGATTGGCAGGGTCCGGCAGGTCCTTGCAAGAAGAACCGGGAATCTGTCATAGAGCAAAGACTGCTGGCCTTCATAGGCATTCAAGAATGCTGATGTGAATTTTCCGTACAGCATAAACCCCAGGAGCCGAAAAGTAGGGAAACGGTCAGTCGTATTTCGATCTTGGAGTTACATGTTGCCAATAGTCGCCGGACTTATATTGGAGGTTATAGGATATTTGGGCCGCATTCTTTTACACGATAATCCATTCAGCTTCGATGCTTTCTTGATGTAAGTTACTGAGCCTACCACATAATTGAATCTATACTGACCAAGGCGTGATACCTTAGGTATTTGATATGTCTTACCATTGCTCCGGCATTCTTCACAGCTGGCATCTATCTATGTCTCGGCCGTATTATCACTGTTTACGGCGAGGAATTCTCACGCTTAAAACCAAGGACGTATACCTACCTATTCGTGTCTTGCGATCTGATTTCCCTTATCCTGCAAGCGGCCGGTGGAGCCGTCACTTCAAGTGCCGATGATCAGTCACTTCACGATACTGGTGTCAACATCATGATTGCTGGACTGGTCTTTCAAGTTGCATCCTTGATAGTGTTCTCTGTTCTAGCGATTGAATATGGAGTCCGGGTTTTACGAGGAAGACGCCAGCATTCTCCTACTCAGGACCGGCGGGCAAGCTGGATGAGGAGATCATTCTTGCTTGGTATGTATATCGCCTTCAAACTTTTTTCTATAAAAGTTTTACTGACTCAATATTGAATATCAGGCTTAGCAACTGCTGTTTTAACTATATTGATTCGATCTGCCTTCCGAGTGGCTGAGCTCCAGGGTGGATTTCACAGTAAACTGGCCAACGACGAAATAGCGTTGATGATCCTCGAAGGTGCCATGGTTTCAATTGCGTGTATTTGCTTGACTGGTTTGCATCCCGCTCTTCTTGTGGGCAAAAAATGGAGGACGCTTCAGACAATTGCACCGGGCTCTGAAGTGGAGAAATAGATCATAAGAATGATGGCGGACCGAAGCTAGCAATGGGCATTTTAGTTTGGCGATGATTGATGAGCTTTAGATGACCTCGGGAACATTACGTCCCATTGTTGGTCTCACCAGCTAGGTACTGTCTACACAGTTAAGTGAACAGGGTTTTGCCTTTGAAGCGAAAAAGTAGATTGGTTGATTATTATTGATTGAGGTTAGGAGTGAAGACAGTTGTGTCCCACTCGGCCAGCATAGGCAGGGGGAGAACAGCTTTGGCCCCCACGGCATGTGAGGAGTCATATGTTCCAACAATTATCATCTTGGAACGTTTTATTTTTGTGCAGTTTGGGCTGGATATTGAAATTGAGATGAAACGATGGCAGTCAGGCATAGCAGACGGGTCGATAGCCACGGAGAACACACTGCCAACCACTTCCCTGCTCAGTCATGCGTATGGAGGGTGGTACGTAAGGGCGCAGATCGTAGTAAGCCTGAAGCCGTATTGTGAAGCCAAGAATTATATGAAAACGGGGTGATGTCTCAGCTAAAACGTCGCTGGCTACTCCGTGGCTGTATCTTCAGGCATATTAACACCTGACTCCTCAGGCATCTAGCTGACTGGGGATGCTAGTTAAGTAGTAGTTATACTGAGTGCGTGATTTGCCCACTACAATATGTAATTTCTTTCAAACTCGAAATAGCATATCCTGATATTGTGTAAGATAGATGACAGAAATCAGAGGCCAATTAGTATGGGATCCTGAGATATATATCAAGCTTTCTGAAATACTATATCCTTATTTTCTGGCAATTTATGGGTATTTTCAACTAAACTAACAAAACATGTAAAACATGTAAAAAAATGCAAACATAGGTGAATATGCCAAGTAATAATGCTGATAATATTTCCACGGACGCCATTAATTTCTCCACTATTTCTGACAGTAGACTCAACTGTGTGCATCATTTTCCATCGTTCACTCTCATGATGATAAATATAAGGGACAACATGGATAGGATATCAATGTCAGTCTGCTGAATTGGGATCCAGACTTCAGAACTGATTTCTTCGCATACGAATACGGGTGGGTCAGTGATGATACATACTAACCGGGCCCTTACAAGTTTTACCAATGGTCCGCTTTTCGTTCTCCGCACTCCGCATTGGGTTGGTCGGATTCGAGTAGTCGTATGGTATTTACCATGTAACTTACATATAATTACTATCCGTATTCGTAAACGCACTATTAGGTGTCTTCTGTTCCACAATACCTACACTCAACAGTTCGGCCATTCTCACTACCTAGGTATCTTCCTGCCCGGCAAGGAACTCTCGAACATGTAGATCCACTCCCCCCGAGGGTATAAGTATGTTCGAAGATAAGCCGAATATGTCACATTAACATTTCCTACATTTTGCCTTCTACGGTCATCGGCACCGACATGCCCTCCATGATCTTGAAGATGCCACCTTTAGCGACTCTAAGCGCCATTGCTGCTTATGTTGTTAGTGAAATCTCCCAGCCGCGATATCGACTAAATCGTTGAAGAGACTAATTCCAAAAGTTCATAGTTTATCATTTACACCATCTATACTCTGATATACAATATTTGGTTTCATCCATTAAGAAAATACCCAGGTCCAAAGCTATATGCAGCGACCCGCATTCCATACACGTTTCATCTCTTCCGAGGCACCATAACTCCACGAACGCAAAGGCTGCATATAAAGTACGGTCACGTTGTCCGTATTGCTCCTGATGCCCTCTCATACACGTGTAGCGAGGCCTGGAACGGTAAGGCTTCGCAAGGTAGCGAAGAGCACTTTTGATAACCCTATGCAATCCCTCAAGACATCTACGGCCTGAAAATAAACAACATGCGTGGAAATTTCTCGAAGGACCCCAAGTACTACATCAAGTCTGACAAGGATACAAGCAATATTGTAAGAGCCGCTAGATTATTGGCACAGCAGGACGACTGCTTACTTATTCTAGTCTAACGCAAATGATGACGACCATCGCCGACTACGTCGAGTCCAAGCGCATGCCTTCTCGGAGAAAGCGTTATCTCTGCAAGAAGCTTACGTGCAGAAACATGTTGAACTGTTCATTTCTTGCCTAGGTGAAGAACTAAATATCACCAAGAATGGTGTCATTAATGCAGTTAAGTGGTTTCATTATCTTACTACAGATATTATTGGCGATCTGGCATTTGGCGAGAGCTTTGGAGGACTTGAAAAGAATGAGATGCACCCGTGGCTCGAGAATCTTTTTGGGAGTGTTAAAATCTATTCGTTTTTCCGAGAGCTGTCTCGCTATCCCAGTTGGATGACTTACATTACAATAGCATTGATATCCCCCAGACGGCAGCTGGTGCATTCCAATAAGGCTATTGAATTTGGTGCAGAGCAGGCACAGAAAAGAATTAAGCGCGGAACAGAGCGACCTGACTTCATGTCTTATCTTTTGTGACATACTGATCAGCGAGGGTTAGTTCTCAGAGACCGAATAAATCTCAAATTTATCTTTGACGCCTCTTTTTTAGGTTATCCGAAGATGAGATTGCTATATCGTCGATCACCTGGATTATCGCGGGGAGCGAAACTAGTACGTTAAGATCCTTGATCCACACTGAACATGACTTGTATTAATCGGTAGCAACAGCGGCCACTTTAATGTCCGGCCTGACTTACCTGCTTCTCAAGAACCCTGGCACATTGCAAAAAGCCGCTTCAATCATCCGAGGCGATTTCCCAGACTCGACCAGAATGACTTTCCACGAGCTCCAAAAACATGATTATGTAAATGCAGTCATTTCTGATGGTCTTCGACTGTACCCTCCGGCGGCAGATAGTCTTTTCCGCGTAGTACCGGCTCAAGGTGGCATTGTTGCTGGTGAATTCGTTCCTCCACATACGAGCGTCACGGTCCATTTGTTTGCCGCGTTCCGTTCTCCATTGAACTTCCGACGACCCGATGAATTTCTCCCTGAGCGGTGGATAAGGGATTGCCCCCTGGAGTTCCGGTCGGATAACCGGAGCGTATTCCAGCCTTTTAGTATCGGACCAAGGAACTGTCTAGGCAAAAAGTAAGTGTGGATTCTCTCCTACCATTCTTCGTGCCCTGAAGATAATGCCCATTTTTTTGAATGTCTGCCAAAAACATATAGATCCTCATCTTCTGGAAACGAATCTAACCTTCTTACTAGTTTAGCATGGGCCGAGATGCGCATGATCCTTGCTAATCTTCTCTGGCATTACAACTTGGAAGAGCTCTTGCCAGATAGCACAAATTGGATTGAGGAACAAAAAATATATATGCTCTGGGAGAAACAAGATCTCAACATTCGAATCAGCAAACGACATTAAATGGTTCAACGCGGTAGCCACCTGGATTTGGGATTTCTGCGACGGACATGCCATCATGCTTTGCTGTTACGACCCGCAAGTTGGGTTTCGCCGCTTGTATGCTTGTTAGTGATGCCGAGACTGCCAACATTCTTTCCGAACTGTCGAGAGGGCATCAGTGCTCAAAATAGTGTCTTATATAACCGGAGTAAACTAAGAACTTCCGATCTTCTTCCGAAAGCCACTTCTTTGGGGTTGTAAACTATCAAACCAGGCCAGATGTTACACTCCACAGCGTCGCTCAAAATTATTGGCTATTATGAGGAATGTAATTTCCCTCCCAAGTCACCTCTTGTTCTCAATAACCTCTTTAAGTAGCTCTGACCCGCTAGAATTTCCCTAAACGCATTAACGGATGTTGGATTGCTAGCAGAAGGAAGTGAAACCCATTCTGGAGATCATTCTACCCCGAGTCTATCTAGCAGCAAACCATGAAATTTAAAGAACTATATTTAGGATACTTGTACCTAATTGAGAAAGTTGGTGCCCATTTTGGAAATGATGCTCGGACATATCGTGATGGGAGATATCGGTAACTTTCACCCAGAGAAAGCACCCGCAAAGGCTAAAACGAGTCTCCAGGATCTCTGGGCTCTGGCAGGCTCCACATAGAGGTTTCACGATCATGAGGCAGATTTACCATTTCCTGGTCGCCAGAGTCGTATTCCTCCTGAAAAGATGGCTCGTCCTCTGTGGTATCGCCTGTAGCGGACCGACAATGCACGTTGCAGCCGGCTTCGGAAGTTTGGTCGTCGAGGAGGGCGCGAGACATTTTGAATTCCGCCCATACTTGCGTCTGAGGTACGCTGGGATGACGAGTGGTCCTAGTTCTGATTTCATGTAATAGGAGGCGGCGCTCCGGCTTTATAACAAGTCATATCGAATCTAGTTGCTCCCAATGGGGGGAGGGATTGCAAGCGCATGCACTTTTCACCCATACTTTCTGCACATAGATATCTATTTCAGATACTGCACATTTCGGACAATTTTTCACTAACAGTCGGGTCAAACACATTTCAACGAACTGGTGAAACCATGGGATATTGTCAACAAGTACAGGCTCTCGTGGCTGTGTTCAACGTTGTTGATTCTCAACCAAACACAGTGCATCAAAATCGAGGGCTTGTTGGTCTTCAGAACATTGAACTGGTGTGGGTCGTGATAGTCTGATACCAGCTCACCAAGCTGAGCCATGGCTCATAAACACGCAATAGTCAGTTTTTACGTGCAACACTGAACTTTTAAACTCAAAAACCCTACATCTTCGAATTCACTTTCTGCTGTTTTCTTTACCCATTCTTACCACTTCTGCCAATTGCCCAAGCATCACCATGTCCCCGCGTAGCGCATGCGGCTGGCCAGAATGGGAAGAGAAAAATCTTCTCTCTTGGCTGGACGCCCATGGGGAGCTGTCGTGGAAAGTCCTCTGCCACGCATATTATGAAGAATATCAGGTGGATCGAAGCGTTGAGTCTTTACGAGGGAAAAAGTACCATATTCTGCGGAAGCAGCGTCGCACTGGCGCCAAATCTCCCCAACGTTCAGGCAAACAAAAGGGACCAGGCGACGTGCGGCGCTCGCTGGTCGATAGCAGTTCACAGTCGACTCTTCCAGCCAAGACCCCTGCCCAAAGGAACATTGACAAATGGTTTCAATCAATTCTAGCGGTCGATCCTAGCCAGCCTGGCGACAGCAAAGAAACAACTCAAACACGCTCGAGTTCAGGTACGAAATATCTTCTATTCTTCCTGTATTACAATCTGACCCTTGTCACAGGCCGCGCGACGCCAGTAACTATCCTATACCGGCCTAATAAACCACGATCGTCATCCTGGATGTGGGACTATGTGCATCGTGTCTGTGCAGCCTGGAAGCTGAGATACCGGCGAACAGAACGTCCACACTCAGTATGTCATCGGCTGGAGCGCTACATTGCGATGTCAAAGGAACAGTGGCCAATTCTTTCGATAAAATAGCCCTGGTGTATGTTATTACCATAAAGGCTGTGATTACTCAACAATGAATCCTCAGCATGAGAAATATCGGCATTATTGTGTATCACTCCACGGATTCTTATAGGAAGGAGCAATCACCCTTATTTGGAATTCAACAATGGTGAGGAAGTTCCAAAGTCAAAGGTGAAGATTCGAGCACGATTGTGGTGCCTCGGAACAGGCCCGCCTACACAGTTTCATCCTTGTCATGCTAAACCAGGGGCATGTCCCATGCGGCCTCCAAAATACTGCGGACAGTGTATAAGGATTCACGGTACTATGAGTGTTCCCGTAGGGAGATAGGACATGGTACCAAAGGGGCTCTGGGAAACTGAATATATTTGGATTCTTGTTAGGTCAAGAAAATATGTCAGATTGGATTTAGTTGGATCGGTGGTCGGAAGCAGAGTATATTTAGAGTGAAACGTACGATTTATTTTCGACCAACGCCCAAGTCGCGAAGAATTTAGGTTTGATACAGACCGTGGAATGATGAGCGGGACCGACGATCAGGAGCGGCACCGCAAATCATTTCGACAACTTAGTTTGAACGAGCCATAGAAACGCTCGCTCGGTGAGAGAATGCGGTTGGTGTGAAGGATCCAAACTGGAACTTAATCGAAAGTCTATCTAACTTCAGGCTTCTGGTCCACTTCTAGATTAGCGTTGGTTAAATCTGTCCCTGCAGTGCTAAGAGAATTCAGAGAAAAATGGGCCACACTCACCATGACCTCAGCTTGTTGAATAAAGGATATTGTAAAAGAACGTTTTTGAAGTCTTCTCAATGGATCAAGATGCGCCGGGTGCTTGAAATAGACTTTGGGGACCGCAGGTGGGGCCCACAACGCCGACTCCTCCATGTCCGGGAGCCAATCGGTTTCTCGGCTTCTAGTACAAAAACGGAAACTTTGTTTAGATCTACCAACTGGAGCGTCCCAAATTGGCATCAATTGTTATAAGCTGTCTGCTTGAGTTATTCGAAAGGCGGTGGATTGGAGCAGATAGAGAGAGAGAGATATCGGGCTCAAAGAGAGTTTACTCACTATGGGGGAGCTTCATGCAGGAGAGAATACATAGCTTCTAGAACGTTCTATAAACCGGATAGACAAAGCAGCAGCTTGCCATTCGACGGAGGACCAATCACTCTCTTGCGAGGGCAACTAGGAGAACACGCCCTCGGATCGGATCTCTGTTGCCTGAAGTCCGCGAGATATTCCAAATACCTGACCTGCTCTAACAGTACCTCCTAAGCAACAAATACCTGTTCCATCCGCACGCTAACGGCCTGTCAAGCCTTGGTTTGCAGATTGCGTCCGGACCTTTGCATATCCTTCCAATTTCTTCTCGGGGCCACAAATAGAACATCCTTGATGTACTGTCCCGTGGGTCGTCGCTGAGCTTTTCATCGTCGAACTGTACCAACGTCGGACCACATTCACGAGCGGTGTTTGATTGGTGCTACTGGTGTTTGTTGTGCCCAGAGTCTCATCAGAGTGTGATAGTAGCGTTGCAATCTCATGAGCCTTGGTAGCTGAAATGCCTCACATGGTGGACCTGGAAACTAGGCTCAGGTTCGGGCGGCAGTGGCATTGCTAGAATTCAGGTCCCACCTCTACCCATAACCTGGGTGGATCATGATCGTCCGGCAGATTACTTGGGAATCAACCAAATCTGATTGATCATGGCCGTGGTCTCCACCCATCAATGAATAGGCGATGTAATGTGATCTGAACTCTACCAAGCTCGTTTGACTCTTGTGAGATTCAAAAAGAAATCTGCAGCTCTTTTGCGCGCTTTTTTCGTCCATGGATTTTTTTACCACTTGGGCAGGTAATAGAATCCCAAAAGACAGACTACGATACTGGCATGAGCTACGGTTTCAGGTCTTTGCGGTACTACTCTCTTCTCAATACTTGAAAGTAGTTCACCGCATCCAATGCAGGGGTTGGACATGAATGATCCCACGCGTACACTCCAGGCTTGGCTCTGTTGGCCACAAAAGTCTCCAAAACACCATTTCAACGTCCGTTGAAGCACTTTAACCCTTATCAACGAGACGGTGATTCTCGCCAGGAAATGCGCAACTGGTTTCTCAGGAGAGACGTAGCCGAATTGATATAGAAGGACGCGGTTTTCCAGTCAAACAAATCAGGATTTCGGTCTTCACACTCTGATGCATCATAGTGTCCCTCTCTTGTCTGCAGGCTTGAGAGTCTCCGTGGCCACGGCTGTGGCTGCTTTGAGCCCCGCGACGTAAGAAAGGTGCTTCGCAGGATAAGCTCTGCGTCAACAAGTGTGCTTCGCAGGATAAGCTCTGCGTTAACAAGTGTTCTTCGTAGGGGAAAAGCTGCGTAACAAGGCCACTCTAGCGACGTGCAGGCACCTCTTCGTGGTGTTAGGGATCAGTATTCGAATATTTCAAGAGTATTCGAAAAAGCAAAGACCTGCGCAACATCTTCATCATCTGTTTCGTATTCCGAATGATCATCATTTGATACATAGAATGAGCCCTAGATAGATCTTCGCAAATTCAACCATCAAAATCGTAAGATTCAAATTAGGCTTTCTTCGTTAGCGACTGCCGTATTCTCAACCTCTGCCTTGAATTCTGCCAGCTAATTAAGTCCCTTCGCCGCGATGTTATACGTCATCTGCCAGCAAATTTCAGAGCAAACAGAGACGTGAGTGCTGTGCTGGGATGTTTGTCCTGGCGAGATTTTGTTGTGGTGAGCCGTGAGTGTTGACGTGAGTGTTGATGTGAGTGATGATGTGAGTGTTGATGTGAGTGTTGTGGTGAGCGTTGTGGTGAGCGTTGTGGTGAGTGTTGTGGTGAGCGTTGTGTAAGCGTTGTGGTGAGTGTTGATGTGAGTGTTTATGTGAGTGTTGATGTGAGTGTTGATGTGAGTGTTGATGTGAGTGTTGATGTGAGTGTTGTGTTGTGGTGAGATGTAAATTTATGTGGTAAAA